CACCCCATTCCCTTTATCTACCTGACTCACAGCTTTTCTTTACTCTTTCACCCGAACTGCTGGAAGAATGATTGCATGGCTTGTTCATGTGTCCTGGCTGTCTAGAATAGCTTTGTAACGGTGGGCGCCATTGGAACACTGTGAAGCNGCAAGAGCTTTTTTGAACCCCATTTGTGTGGTCTTGTCCACTGGTACGAACGGAAAAAAGAACAGTTGAACAGTAGCATTCCTAATTGTCTCTTGTTTCAGACAAAATCGGATACCAAGTAACAGAAAGAAATCTGGACGCTCGATTGGCCGTGGCCATTATCAGTCCTGTGCAACCTGACCTGCCCTGACCTGACAACTACTCCGAAGACCTCCCTCCGTCACTGAGCAATAAACCTACCACAAGAACCCGGGCTACTCGAAAACTTCGGTTCCCAAGCCCATCACTTCCCTTGAATTCGTGAACATGCCCGACCATTTCAGTTTCAATGCCATTACAACGTCAAATGTTCAACTGCGCGCGGTGAAGGTCAGGAGAATCTACGATTTCCTGAAGATCAAACAGTCGTCGAAGTACTGGTGGATCCAGCAGCCCATCGAAAGAAGAAGCAGGACAATTTGACATCTTGCCGTCAATTCCTGGATCCTTGAAGTGAACTGAATTGAACCTGATCTGTCACTTTCGTGTACTGCGTTACACCGGCTGGTTTCGAACATGGCCGCGAAGTTACTGAGCTGCACTTCAAGTAAGTCCTTTTTCCTATCCCAGCATTTTCAGAGGCACTCAGCGCCGCAGTAACAAAAGGAAAACCTGCATTTTCGAAGTTCATGACCTATGCAAAGGTAGAAATGCGCCCGCCAACACTTACCGATTTCAATCTTGCACTTGCGGAGGCAAATAGTTTAATTGCTGCTGCAAAAGCTGGAAAATGGAAGACTTTGACCGTGAAGGTAACAAATACATTGCTGAAACGATGGTAATTCAACAGGAGGGTTTTCTTGACGCTATTGTAACCTTGGAGGTTCTTGCGTGGTTCTTTGTCGGCGAGATTATCGGTCGAAGAAGTATTATAGGTTACAGCAGAGTTCCTGGAGGATATATTAAGGCACATTAGATATCTGTGATTCTGGACTTGTTGCCATGTAGAGAAGGTCTGTATTCTAGTGTCAATAAATTTTATTCAATTCGTTCTCCTTTGTGATTCCGTCGTGAGGGATGCGATTTTCAGGCGAGTATTGCTGAGTGCATCATTCCTTTGTCCGATTGCACTTCTCTTGGGTGGATGTTTTTCCGGTTACGTATCTTACTGAGAGGCAGCTGTTCGCCCTGGGCAGCATTTGCGTAAGGCGATCAGCGACAGCTCTGGAGTTTCATGTGAAAAGGAGTAGCGGATTATCTCGATTTTGGTGGTTCGCATACGTAACAATACACCGCAGTGTTTGCATATCGCTAACTGAAAATGAACTTTCTCTGAAAAAAGACGAAATTCATTGCAAATTGATTGATTGATCTCATCTTGAGACCGGAAGTCGGATTAACAATCATTGCAAAGCTCTGTGCACTTATCCGATCATCGAGATAATTCAGGTTGTGTAGTGTACGGAATTTCCACTGCTTCCACTGTGCCTAGGAACCGAGAGTGAACCTACCTTGAAATTCTAGTGCGACATTTATGGAGGGATCGGGAGGCGCTGGTCATCAGTTTCAGCTTGAACAACTATTAGCCGTGCATTTTCGTGCGCCTTGATCATGCTCACAGTGGAATCCGCTACATGTGAAACCAGTGCACTGGTGAGTGAACAAATCTTTCCGGTATTCGGCTACCCGGTGGTGTTCACAAATCNCAAATCGGTTTCGCCAATCACCAGATCCTACCCTTGAGGAAGGATTGACTAAATTTTTCGAACCCGTTCACATTGGGATAGCAAGTGTCGAAGATGAGTTTGGATTTGTTAACAAAATTCGTGACAAGCTTCGTCGGTCAAACGGTGCCTTCGACGGACGTTAGTTCGCCATCCTTAAATGTCCCTATCACGACTAGACTGCACCTTGACGTGTGATAGCTCGCGTGCCTCCACGACCCTGCAAGCTACGCAGGATGGCTCTTCACAACCGCAGATCCAATCATGCCTGAAAAGTCAACGGGTAGAGGGCAGACAAAGCCCAATCTCACCAAGCCAGCCCTTTGGACAACTGGCTTCCTTCGTCTATCCACACCCGCCCTTGGAGAGGTCACTCCAGCAAATAAACACGGCGAGGGGCAGTTTACCGGTCAAAAATAAACTGGTAGATGGACGTAGGAGCGGGTTACCTAGGGCTTCCTCTCGACGATGGGAGAAGTCTTCGGACTTGACTGGACAGCTACCACCTGCCCAAGCTGGGCTGCACCCAGCCAATAAGATGCTGTCCCGCTCGCCTCCCTCTTCGGGTGCATGAGGCTAAGGGGCGATTCCGAAAAGCGGACCGACAGTCAACTCACCAGCGAACAACTCACTGAATCGAAACCAAGAGGCCTTGCGCGATAGGTCTGAAGAGGCTCCGACAAGGGTGCTTTGTTTGCGCTCCCGCGTTGGATCCACGCCCCACTGCCTAGTGGGTCAGACTGTTGATTCAAAGGCGCCTGTTAGAGTACCCCAAGAAAACCCCCTTCATTGGTGTTGGCTGCCACGAAGTATGTCGTGCCCCGAGTCTTGGGCGTCCATTTGGAAAAACCGCTTTCCCACCTGTCTAATTCTTCCTCAATCCCGAATAATCCTAAACGCCTGTTTATAAGACCCATCAAATATCACTCAGTTTTACCAGCGAAGCCAAACAATCAGAAGTTACGGGATTTTTGAAGCCAGAATTCCTTTTTCACTTAGCCGCGCTTAATGGCCGCACACGATCACCTTAGTGAACAAGCTACCTTAGCGAAACACGCATACAAGACCATACTTCACCCTCACGCTTAACCCTTCGTGTATCAGGCGATTTGGCATCCGAAGCTCGCGGAGTTGTTGGTGCTGGGATTGCGCTCAGTGCCAAGGCTGATCGCTCGCTTTTTGACTGGATTCCAGTCAGTAGCCGACTGTGCTGTACGTCTCAACGGTTTAGCACGGGTCAACAGCTTCAGAATAAATCGCCGATGCTTAATCGTCATATCGGTATATGCACCAACCGATTGCAATACACTTGAAGTCAAGGATGAGTTCTGCAAGGATCTTTCTCAATTACTGCGGTGTTCGATCAACGGACATCGTGGTAGTCGCCGGGGACTTCAGTGCTCAAGTGAGATCCATGGATGAATCAGAAAGGCTTCTTGACGGACCACATGCAATCCCAGGCAACCGGACGGGCAACGGAGCCCGACAACTTCCACTCTTTACAGACCATGGACTGTTCCTGTCAAGCACGAACTTCTCGCACAAGAAACGAGATGGTCTGTTGTGACAGACCATGGGACGTTTGCCGGAATAGCTGTGCGAGGAGCTGACGCTGGTGGCCAGCTAAACTGTGCCCAGCTAAACCATCAGCTTCGCAGATCGTTTCGCTCACGCCCAAGGCTTTCCTACCGGTGACCCGGATGAAATGGAACAGCTTACGGGAATTTCCCATGGCGGCAGTACGTTCCATCTGTAATGCACGTTGAGTCCACCAGATTTCGCGGTCTCTGCGTAGGCTTACGTTGAGGTTACGACTCGTTGCTTGTATTTCATTATGCTCGCTGCCGGTCGGAAGTGACCGAGGTGCGTCTTGAAGGCGCAGAGACTCAACAGAAATCCAGGCTGTCACGACACGGCGTGTCAGACCACAACTAACTAAGCCAGCAGAATGCAGAGCATTCTTAGCAAGCGACCAGTGCTCACTGGCGTTATCAGGTGGGGTTGGTTGTAGCTTTTCAGCTATCGCGTTTTGAAAGACGGTTAAGCATGCTGGTTGGGACAACTTATCGCAGTCTAACCGCCGCTTTGCCGTACTTTTAGGACGCCCACCGAAACACATGGACAGCTTGGCGTAAACTAACGCATGGTCGGAGTCGAGGTTAGTGCTCCAGTACGATCGGCAGTCTTGAATGCAACCCCGCCATTTGTAGCTTATAGTGATGTGGTCTATCTGCGTTAGTCGCTGACTCGAGTAGGGTGGACGCCAAGTGGCGTAACGGTTGTTGGAGCGTCTGAAGTTCGTACTGGCGAGGAACAGGCGGTGGTCAGAACATAGAGCCAGCAGCCATTTTCCGAGCGACAGGAATCTAGTCAAAAGGATCACCTGCATGCGCCTCACTCGAAGTCAGTCGGCCTATTCTAGCATTCATATCTCCTGCTAAAATCACGATATCAGCCCGATTTGCCTTACGCAAGAGGTCGTGTAGCTTTCTGTAAAAAATATCTTTGACTGTATCTGGGCTACAGTTCGTAGGTGCGTACGCTGAGACGACAAACAAGTTGCGTCTTTCGGAGCGACGGCTATTTACTTTGCACGAGCTTCTAAATCTCACTGCGCATAGCCTACTGGCGACTGGAATCCAATCCAGGAGCGCGATTTCAGCTCTCTCACTGAGAGCCACGCCAGC